TTTCAAAGCTGACTTTTCAGGATTAGCCCTTCATCATTCACTCTGATGAAGAGCTAATGCTCAAAATGTCAGCTTTGAAACTCTTTTTGGTGGCCAATTCACATTATCGACTCAGTTATTAAAACCAAAATTACCTATTTACTCCCACCCATGCAGCACCACAGTTTCTTTGGAAATTAACCCCCTTTATTCATTTTTTTTTTGTTATCAAATATGGGGACAAACAACTAAAAAAATAATAATTATTGAAATAAATGTTGGATGCTATTTTTCTTTGATAATCAGATTAAAAAAAATTTTTTGCAACTCATCATTTGAATGTATAGTTTCAGAAATTTATGGAAAAGCTTCGTTCTCGATGCTTCTTTTAAAGAAAAAAAATTTATTTATGTATCTATATTTAAATGGTCCATTTCTTCGCCGTTCAAGGGAAAAAAAAACAGTTGAGAGGCAAAAAAGTATCGAGCGTCAGACAAACATCCTCTATGCGAAAAAAAAACCATGCACACTTCAGTTAACCCCAAAGTGAATGGCCCTAGGGCTAGTTTCAAAAAAAAAAGTAATTTTGTAACTTTTAAATCGGAACCACACACGAGACCCTACACCTTAAAAAAAAATGCATATACTCTCCGAGCTTTTTCTCTTGGCGTATTCGTTGCAGTTGGAAAAAAAAAAACGTGAAGAAGCGGAGCTAGAAGACTGTGCTGTAGAACAATTCTTTTCAGTAAAAAAAAATTTACCCGTTTGGGAAACATCATTTTCGTTACAACTAGCGCTGGATTTTTAAAAAAAAACTAAAGAACTAGCACTATCCCATGAGTTGGTAGCCGAAGGTGTTCCTGCCAAAAAAAAAAGCTTGTTTTGTGCTTTCACAGTAGTTGACTTGCTCCCTCTATAAAGATGAAAAAAAAATGGTCCCCGCAGATCTTCCTCAGAAGATGTAGAGCTATACCATGGCGTGAAAAAAAAAAGTCTTGGAACCCCACCCATGTACCCATTTTTGGTTTCCACTTTTCCGTGAAAAAAAAAAATTGTAGTTGAGGTGCCTAATGAGTTCGCGGCACACGTCCTTGTCTTCGTAAAAAAAAACCTTTCCTGGGCTGACGGAACCTCTCTGAAGTGATGGCCAGTGCTTGTTTAAAAAAAAACTTCACTCAGGGTATCATCACGGTCCCACAAAGAGGCAGTAGAAGGCCGGAAAAAAAAAGAACTACACCTGCTAGCGCCATCATCCAATCTGCTGTTAGAACAGTCCTCAAAAAAAAAATTAAAAACCCGCGCAACGGTTTTGTCATGTGGCAAGACTGGACAGCCACAAAAAAAAACGTGCGACGCCTTTCTCCTAACTGCATCTTTAATCCTCTTAAGGAGTCGCAAAAAAAAAGTTTGCCTCTTTTCATCTTGGCTCCCGCGTTTCTTTCTCAGAAATCGTCGAAAAAAAAATTTGGCCTTTTCTTCTCCTTTGATGGGCTTCGTTGTTCTGTGTGAGGTGTAAAAAAAAAGTCTCACCGTGTCTCGGGCATTATTGCCCTCTTCTTTCTTTGATCTTCTGAAAAAAAAACCTGAAGCAGCAGGCTTTTCTACCGGTGGTAATGCACATGACTGAACGCTAAAAAAAAAGCCCAGTCCATGAAGTTGGACAGTTCTGTTTGTGTTTCTAGCCAGCTGCCAAAAAAAAATTTCACGATTTAAAGCCTCTTCCTGTGGTTGGGAGAACTCACAGTCATTTAAAAAAAAAAACAACAATGTCCCAGACGATGACGATTCACCATCCCCGTCGAAATCAACAAAAAAAAATGAACCCCTTACACTCAACTCCAGTTCAGACCGAAACGAAACAACACTTGAAAAAAAAATCGTATCGGTTGCAACAGAGGGTATTTGATCTGATTCTCCACTTTCAACCAAAAAAAAACCATTTTCGTATCGTTTTTTACTGATTTGTCTGAAAATATCGCCGTAAAAAAAAAAAAAATTTTAATATTAACCTTAACTGCAAGGAAAACACTTGACGTATTATTAAAAAAAAAAAATGATTGTGACGTAAAGTTTGATAGCAACATACTTGCGTCGTGATTTTAAGAAAAAAAAACTTGTTTTGTCGGTCTTTCCTTTCTGTGTCTGTTTCTTTTCTGCGTCTGTAAAAAAAAACTCCAAGATATTGAATAGTATCTGGTGAACTAGGCTATTATCTCACCTGTAAAAAAAAATCTGGCCCCGGTTGTTCGAAGGCTGCATAACGCTATCCACTAGATAAATCAAAAAAAAATTGATAGCGCAGTACGTTTTAGTAACACTTATCCGCCGGGTAGCGATTTAAAAAAAAAATAGCGTTAACCGCTCTCTGAACAACCAGGCCTTGGTATACAAATTACTTCAAAAAAAAAGGACCCAGTTTTATAAAGGGCGGATGAGGCTAACCAACAGATAAATCGCTAAAAAAAAAACAAGTGATAGCAAAACGTACTTCGCTCTCCACCGGATACAGATTTATCCAAAAAAAAACGTTTCTCAAACTTCAAACAACCGGGGCCTGTTCTTTTGCGGGAAGAGCGAAAAAAAAACTGCTGCGACGTTTAAGAGACCAGCTGGTCGCAAAACGCTTACACGCTTCAAAAAAAAAGTGACAAGCGCACGCATGCACCAGCAAAACTTAAAAACAATTGACTCCGTAAAAAAAAAAAATCAACCTTCATATGTGCGGGCAAATCGTCTTATACCCTCGTGAACAAAAAAAAAAATGCTTTGTATAAAACACACTTAATACCATGTTGCAAATTTCAATGACTTTAAAAAAAAATCTAATTAAAAATTGTAAAATTTCTAAAACAAGGGCTCATCCGCTTTCACAAAAAAAAAGCGTCCACAAACCAGTGTGGCGCTAGTTTTATAAAGGCATTTGCATTCCAAAAAAAAAAAATATTTACAAATAAATTATAGCGTCAACCGCCTCTCGCTTCCAAGATCTAAAAAAAAATTCTCCTTACTGTCTGCCATATAATTCTTATGATGTGAGTTCAAAGAATTAAAAAAAAAATCAACTAAATCCCCTAATTGGTATTTTTGTATATTCTCATCACTTTTCTAAAAAAAAATGTATGGATATCGTTAGGAGAAATTCTGTCTTGGTCACTCGTGGGAGTTAAAAAAAAAAAAGGGGTTGGCGATACTCTCATCAGAGAATATCGCCAGAATATCCCAGCTAAAAAAAAAAGGTTCCTCATTTTCTTTAAAATCACTTCCATAATATTGGTTTAATTGCAAAAAAAAAATCTTCATCTGCTGCTTAAGAAGGAGCCGATTCTCCGGCTGTATTCCCCTTAAAAAAAAAGTTTGGTAATAAAGAGAGATTGATAAATCAGATACGATGAATATATGAAGAAAAAAAAATTTGAACTGGGGTTATAGATACGTATGATGCACGATCCTCGCAGTAGAGAAAAAAAAAAATGCAATAGCGAAAATCAGACCTGAAAAAAAACCAGGCCTGTACGGGATTAAAAAAAAAGACCTCTGCGATACTAGTGCAGTACTCTACCAATTGAGCTAACAAGCCAAAAAAAAAAAGACCGTTAAGTTGATTCGTAATAAAACCGTGATGATAAATCAGATACGATAAAAAAAAAAAGTTCATATATTTTGAACTGCGGTTATAGATACGTATGATCCACGATCCAAAAAAAAAAGAGCGCCATTTATGCAATAGGGAAAATGAGACAGACCTGAAAAAAATCAAAAAAAAAAGGGACTCAAATCACTGACCTCTTCTGCGAGGATCGTGCATCATACGTAAAAAAAAAAAATTACGAG